TACGTAACAAAAGGTTTTGCTGGTTATAGGGAGGCCTGCCAGCTCTCATGTATCTTTATTTTTATGTTAACTTTCTTAAAAGCAAATAAAGATTTAACAAAAAAAAACAAAACATTCATTTTCTGTTCTTAAAAAAAAAAAAAAAAGAGCAACCTGTGCCTCTGTGTGTTCCACAGAGGTTTGCCTTCTCTGTCATTATAGGAAACCTAGCCTTTTAGCAACACTCAGACTAGCAAATGCCCAGTAAAGCTTTTTACTCAGTGGATAACTCTTTAACCAGAAAAGGAAAGACTTGAAAACTGCTGATCTTCAATGGTACAACCTTGTGATAACATAGGCTGATAGGAACATGAAAATAAGCATCTTGGAGATCTAGAGAGATCATCACATCCAATGGAGCCACCACTTTGATGTTTAAGAGACCGATTTAATCTCAAATCTCCCTATGTCTATGAATACATTTGGGTCATGGATTGTCAAAATCAGATGGCAACCTCCCAAGTCTTTTTGGGGTAAGGAAGATTTGAACTTCTGAAATAATTTGACTCAACAGAGAGGAGGCTAAAGTTTTCAGTGATACACACTCCATTGGACCTGCAGACAAAGGGGTTGGCAAAATATCCAAGTAGCTATTTCTCACAATAAATAGAACCCAGGCATCTTGAATAGACTGCTCCCAAACCTTTGCAAAAAAATGAAGCTTGCTTCATACTCCGAAGACGGATCAGAAGTCCACCGTGCTTGTCTTAGTACATGAAAGGAAGTAGTACCGTTGGATCAGTCTTTGAGGAAGACTGACCTGATTTCCATTGTAGAAAATTCTCTGCTTGTATATTTCCTTGTCTCTCTGTAAGATGCAGATTGTCTGTTGAATGCTGGGCCCTTACGGGGTTGTCTTTCGTGGCAAAAATACTTTTCTGCCTTCTTGATGCTTTCATCAAGGTGCTTCCCAAAGAGTATATCTCCATGTATTTATTGCACAGAGACTGTTCTTTGATGCCACATCAGCTCTCTATGATCTCAGCCACAGGGCCCTCCAGTCTTTCACTGATAGCGACATGAAATGGGAGATGGACCTAACTAGATCCACTGATGCTTTGGCAAAAAAATTAAAAAGCAAGCTTAATATCATTAAGGATTCCAAGAGACTGTATCTAGAGGCCCTGTCATCTTCCAGCTTTTGTAACCCAGCACTGGTGATAGAGATCAGACCTACTGACAGGGTGAAGACCTGTTCCAGCTGCAATGTATTACTTTATTACAGTCAATTGTCTTGTCCATGGGATCTCCCAAGGACCCCACATCATCAACTGGACAACCTGTACACCTAGTCAAGTCTTACAATTCCTCATATTCTTTTGGAGGAGAATCCCATTAAGAAGAGTCAAATGACCTGAAAGTGTAAAGACAAGAAAACTGAGATTGAATAAAAATTTAGATTTTCATTCTTTCATCACCAAGTATGTTTTCATGCTATTCATAAGTAATCAATTCCCCTACAGCTTCATTACGATGTTTATCAAGCTAGACTTTTGGAAGCGTAGGTCAGCAAAATGATGGCTGGAGGAGGTTTCTTCTATTGGAGATTCTTGCGGACTCCAAGATCTTCTGACTGCATGAATAAACTAATCCACCCACTTTGACCCAGATACTCTAAGGGAGAAGAAAGGTTCTCATCTATTTTGTGATCCTGGTCACTTTCAGGAACAGAAAATTTCTCTTCAGCACCAGATAAAAAGCCCCAATCTGATACATCAGAGGGCCTGGGCTTGTTGCATGCATTGCCAGCTTCTTATTCTTTGTGATGTAGAGTACTAGGTGTACACATAGAAGCTCAAATACAGGAACATAGAAGCTTTACTCCAAAGTCTTGTGGTTGCATGCCTCACAATATACAGAAATCTCCCTTCTTTTGCATGAATAGCTAAGATCCACATTCAGGGTTGGGGACAGGGAAAAATAAAAAAAGGGAAGAATAAAAAAGGGAAGACGGGAAGGATGGTTTCCTTTAAATTACCTGTTTAATAAACACACACCTATACTTGCATTTTCTCAGTATAGTCAGAGAGAAAAGAAATGTGGCTGTATTTTGCAATTAAATATCAGTAGATCCCAAAGGCATACATAGCCTATCCTGGATATTGGAACTAGAAGAACAATACATTTTATAAATGGAATTATAGCCATATGTCTGATTTATCTGTAAACATACAGCGAAACACATGTATCCCTTAAATTAGTTTTATTTTATATACACATGATGCACACTAGAAATCTGCAGTTATATCAACAGTATCTTCAATGAAAGATTACATAACTGATGTACAAGAGGCGATAATCTATCAATACTTCCAATGCCAGAAGAGCCTGCTTTTTGAAATTTTCACCTGTTGGCCACTAAAAGTGTTAAACGAAACAGCCAACGGATAATCCTTATTTGCTCTGCATTAAGATGGATACGGGTATGACAAAATAGAAAACAAAATAGCAAATGTCAATATACTAAACAATAAAATGTACAGAATTTAAGATAGTGGTATTTTTTGCTTTTCATTTAGGGACACATTAAGACAAACACTTTGAGCATAATGTAATTAACATGTTTTTCGACACTGTAACAATACAAGATTCTGCTGCTTGGAGAAGAGTTTTCCTGTAGCACTTGCTCTTAAAAGTACCAATACTGACACAACAGGAAGCAAAAAGTGTAACGGAAAATGTGCTCCCCTAAAATCACCGTAACGAATCTTATCCAACTATCCATAAACTTGTGTGAAAATTAAATTCTGCCTAATCAAAAGGTAGGAGCATTTCATTTTAGAAAAAGGGAGAAAAAAACAACACCTTATGTTTAAAGTGCTCAGGCTTCTTTTCCACGGTTATAACAATCATGTAACACCAGTTACAACATTACACAACCGGTATATTTGATTATAGAGTCATTTTGTCTGAATTCAGGGGTCAGCTCACAGGATGATAAGCTTTTGCAATAACTAAATCTATGCCGAAAAGATTGAAGTGTGCACGCAAAGAATATTGGGCCTATGTATAAAGAGTAAATCAGTGGAACAATCACCATAGAAACTAGGGTGTTCCTTTAGATTTATCCATTTTTTTAAAAATGCATTAGCCCCATATTTTAAAACACAGGCCTAAATGATCAGTTTGTGTGTGAAAACCAGTGTCTATAAACTACAGGATTTCAGCCTTTGAACTTCCTGTAAACTGCGGGGCCAGGTTTCTATAAATTACACACAACAAAAAATAAAAATGAACACTGGTCTAATAACCGAATGTAAAACTGTACATCTTAGAACGTAAACACCTGCAGAAGCTGCAAATGTTTTTTTGGGAACACATACACATGTAGTAGCAGATACTTCCTTGGGTATAATGGGTTAAAACCATCAGTTTCCACTTGGCATTTACTGCACTGTAATCGTGGCTTAGCCTTTAATACATCTGTAGAGTTCTTGAGTTGGGCAGTGTTGCTGCAGTTGCAGAACAAGTGCAGATGAATCCAAATAAAACCTATCATCTGATTGTACAAAAGGCCTCTTTGGGTACTTCTATATACAATAGTGTTTTGTTTTTAAAGTGCTAAAATTGGTCAAGCTCCTTGCTCTGATCAGTCTATTGCTTTAAAAGATCTTTGAGCACTGCTCCGGCACTCGATTCTGATGACACAGGCAGAGGGGTGAAAGTGGGTAGGGCATCAGATATTGGCTTCATGAGTAGGTGTCCCGATGCGCTTGAGCCCAAGGAGGAGGTTGAGATGAGGGGTACGGCAGCTGAACGGGGGGCCAGGAAAGGGTTGGAATCTGCTCTTCTGCTTGACCCAGCCATGGCTGTCCCTGCAAAATACAAAGCACTTGTTTGAAAGATGGGACAAACAAACATGTCTTGGTTTTAAAGCATTCAGTCCTACAAAATGGCAAATATTTAGACATTAAACTTTGAGACTTTAACCCATTGGGTGTTTTGTAAGGAGGGTGTACAAAGCAGTAAAATAAAACACATGGCAGAGATTCCTTTAACCCCTTAAGGACCAAACATCTGGAATAAAAGGGAATCATGACATGTCACACATGTCATGTGTCCTTAAGGGGTTAAAGGTTTGAAGCTAATCTTTGAATTGAGGAGCCTATAGAGTTACACTAAAATGTGTTATCAGATTACAACTTCCAAGTAGAAGAAATACAAGTGTATTCTCTCATTTAACACTGCATTGCAACAAAAAGATAAGCTTTTAAGTCAGGAACTCAAAAATCTGATGCGTTAACAGCCAAAATATTGGCTAAGTATCATAGGAGGTGTACTATTAAAATCACTTGCCTCATTTGTGTCCATGCAGGAGGCTGATCGGACCTCCTATCCACCCACGTGCATACATGCTAGTTGATATGTCCACACTTTCTTCCCATACAGCATCACCAGTGGCCATATATCTTGTCCCACCACCTCACCTACGTGCTTGTAAAAATGCTTTATGGATTGGATATCCTACCAAACAATTTTTGTGTGTTTTATGCACCATTTAGTGTATGTGTATATATATATATATATATATATATATATATATATATATATATATATAGCAATTTACTATATTTAACTGTACTCTGATTTAATTGATTATATAAATTTATACATATATGCATTTTTTGTAATTTTTTTTTGACTAAGAACCTCTTGAAAAATAAAAGGTGCATATCAAGCACATTGACATTCTGGCTTGGGAGACACGGGGGAAGAGACACAGAAGGGAGCGGGACACGGGGGAAGAGACACGGAAGGGAGCAGGACACGGGGAAGAGACACGGAAGGGAGCGAGACATGGGGAAGACACATGGGGGAAGAGACACGGAAAGGGAGCGAGACATGGGGGAAGAGACACGGAAGGGAGCGAGACATGGGGGAAGAGACACGGAAGGGAGCGAGACATGGGGGAAGAGACACGGAAGGGAGATTTAGACATGGGGGAAGAGACACGGAAGTGAGCGAGACATGGGGGAAGAGACACGGAAGGGAGCGAGACATGGGGGAAAAGACACGGAAGGGAGCGAGACATGGGGGAAGAGACACGGAAGGGAGCGAGACATGGGGGAAGAGACACGGAAGGGAGCGAGACATGGGGGAAGAGACACGGAAGGGAGCGAGACTTGGGGGAAGAGACACAGAAGGGAGCGAGACTTGGGGGAAGAGACACAGAAGGGAGCGAGACATGGGGGAAGAGACACAGAAGGGAGCGAGACATGGAAGGGAGCGAGACATGGAGGAAGAGACATGAAAGGGAGCGAGACATGGGGGAGAGATATGGAAGGGAATGAGACATGTAGGAAGAGATATGGAAGGGAGGGAGACATGGAGGGAGGGTGACATGGAGGAAGAGATATGGAAGGGAGGGAGACATGGAGGGAGGGTGACATGGAGGAAGAGATATGGAAGGGAGGGAGACATGGAG